CAGAGAGAAATATTTAAATTTCTATAACTTCCCATTTTTCGTTTTTCTCAGTTTTATTTGTTATTTTTTAGTTGTTATTTTTATGCATCGTTTATTTTCTCGAACGAAACCATTATTGATGTTTGATTGTGTGAAACTTGACTCTCTACTATATATTTTCGAATGAAATGGAATGATGGTTGTGGTGATGATGGTCGTCTTCGTCGTCGTCGTTTGGTATTCGAACAATTCGCACCGTTTGTTCAAAATGTTGAATTGAACTTAAAAACCGAATGCAATATAGAAAATCTATTGATTCAATTTATTTGCGATGCATAAAACCAATCGGTAAATGTTATGTTGCCCATAAAAATTCTCTTCTTCATTGTTTGACACAATAGCAATATACTATGATTTATGATTTAATTTCAAAACTTATCGATTATTCTAATTACTTGCATGAATTGTATTGAGCAGGGACCGGTTCGCGCATATTTCTATTTCTAAGCATAGCGGAGATGCAATCCGCAACGCATCCGTCGCCATTCGATTCGATCTATATCTTATGCGTACGTCTCTCAAAGCACGGCCGCCTGCATACACGAACATGTGTATGTTCATTAGGGTGTTTCCATATGAAAAATATTAAAAAGTGGCTATTATCATTTTGAAGAGCGTTAAATTCTGTATAAGATGATTTGATTTTTGATGCTGATTGGTCGCCGATGTCACTTCCTGGATCAAAAACACATTTGTAAATTGATTCCATGTTGCATTCACGCCAAAATCTGTAATTGATGAAATTATAAGATTGAACTAAATTAAAAACATAAAAAATAATTTTTTAATATAAAAATAATTGCTTAAATATTAATAAAAGTAACACAAAAACTCACAATTTTACCACAATAAACCAAAACAATGCAAAATCGCCAATTCATTTGACACATAACCTGTCATTTGTCATGCGTGAGCGAATCACGCTTCAAATGTCATTCTGTCAAATGAATTGGCGATTTTGCATTGTTTTGGTTTATTGTGGTAAAATTGTTAGTTTTTGTGTTACTTTTTTAATATTCAAGCTATAATATTGATATTAAAATTATTTTTTATGTTTTTTAATTTTGTTCAATCTTATAATTTCATTAATTACAGATTCTGGCGTGAATGCGACATGAAATCAATTTACAAATGTGTTTTTAGTTCAGGAAGTGACATCGGCGACCAATCAGCATCGAAAATCACATAATCTTATACAGAATTTTACGCTCTTCAAAATGATACTAGTCACTTTTTAATATTTTCCATGTGGAAACACCCTAATGTTCATACAGAGTGGACGGCGATGCGTCGGTTGCATTTGCCGCTATGCTTGGCATATCTATGCTACCTAGCGTATCTAGGCAAGCATGGAAATATGCACGAACCGGCCCTTGGTATTGAGTTGACCACCATTTTAATTATGGATAAATTTTATCTTATCTGTTAAGCGAAATCTTTTGTAATAACAAAGACGTAACGCATGATTTCGATTGAATCGTAGCAAAGGCGCATTGTTCACATTGACCAACAACTAAATTTATTATACTTGGAAATTGTTGAATTTGATGCGGTTCGATTTTTTTTATCCTACTCAATTTCTGACGAAATTGAATTCAACTGAACAATGCATTAATTTCTTAATTGAAATTTGTGTTAATTAATTTGATGTTTTCAAAATATGTGTTCGATTAATTGTTTGGCATGGGAAGTATTGCGTGTGAATGTCACATTATTGAACATGGACACAGTATCATTCATAAATGAATGCATTGGCTGAACAAAAACCAACTCTCGTATAGTCCGAAATATGTACCGAAACATATTATTGGACATCTATTTCGATGGTGATAACATTTGCGATTCGAGTCGAAATGAGCTTTGGCAATTTCGAATTTCATATGTATGGTTTAATCAAACCAAGCAAATGACTGACATTTAAATTCAAATAAATTTGTTATGCCCCCAAAACTTATCCAATCAAATCCATCACTTTAGAATTTTGATATTTGTGCATCTGCCGATCTTCAATTGAACCGAATAATTAAATCAACGAATATTCGTTTAAAATCATGATTTCAATGCGACTTCTTAATCAACAAAAGAATTCTATTGTTGTACACTGAGAAAAATATTGAGTAAATTGTACAAAAATTCTTTATGAAAATCAAAAGAAGAAAATCATCAACAACAAAACGTTGTACTCTGTAACCGAAATAATTTCGTATAAGATCGAGCATTGATTTTGAATGCCATAATAAGGTTCATACAATGTACGAAAAAAGGGATTCCCAAAATGTCATTGTAGCAATTTTTCAGTGTATATAGATTGATTGGACGAATGATAATTACAAATTCAAATGAAATTAGTTTATGTTGATTTGAATGGAATTGTTTTAAAGTCAATTCTGTTGATCGAGTTTATTGATCCACATATGCTCATATTTCATACATTTTTGACTTTCTCATCAGCGATGTCATCGATGTATCAAACCAAAATCACATTAATGCAAGCATATATTATAAATACAATGGCGTTGCGAAACGTGGTGCATTTGTTTTATACTCTATATGTAGAATATGTGAAATTGAAGAGATGTTTCGTGGTTGAAAATGATTGAAATCAGGGCGAATGAAACAACAACAACAAAAAAAATGTTTGATAAAATCCTATCAAGGTTTGATGATATGTGAATGCGTACGTGCCATTGAATTGGCAAGCATATTATGGATCTATTATTTTACATATATGAGCATGAAAATTGGGACGCAATGTTGTGCACTATGCACCGTGCGTGTGTGTGCGTGTATATTATTATCGAACGAAACGTGCCACGTAAGATTTGAAATGCAATTGTTCGTTCATCATCATCGATAAAACCATACGAAATTCATTGAAAAACATGTGCATTTTAATTAACTATTATTGATGACGTTATATAAATTCAAAACTTATTCCGCTAATTTATTAATATTAAGCGTTCAATTGCTTTCGCTTAAAGTTGCGCATATTTATAGAATAAACGAACCAATCGTGAATTTTTCATCGAAACAATGAGAACAATCGACTTGACAATTTACATCTAATGACTTTCTTTACTTTTTATCACAGCGAAAAAAATTATTGCATTCTTATTTTGTATGAAACTCACTTAAAAAAAAAAGTCAAATCATCAAACAGCATTATTTATTTATTTGATTTAAATCTTTTTTAAATACCAATTTGATGTGTGAGTTATAAAAAAGCTCATAAGCAGATGCAAATGTTTCTATTATCATGAGTCACCAGATTTTTATGGCGAGATTGACGCTCTTCCGAAACTTTGATTGAAATAAAAAAAAAACGGTTTGCAATGATAAACGGAAGTTGAAAGAGAAGAATGAATCGTGAGATAGCATTTGAGTTTGCAAGGCACCATAAAAAAGGGGAAAATACACCTGATGACCAGATATAAAAAGTGCAAAACGGGTAATTGTACAATACCAATGCACTTGGTTCGTAGAAAATGATAAAATGATGTTAAAAAATTATCTGGCTGGGATTTTTGTGTTCTTTTTTTTTGTCTTGCTCCATAGAAACAGAAAAACGTTGGTTGCCTGTGATTCATTGAAAATGGTGAAAAAAGTGATATCATAAAATGCAGGAGCTCAGCTCATCCAAGCAACCGTGAAACCAACACCGTATGACATATTAGAAAATAAATATTGTGCACCAACTTGAATATGTGAACATTTCGCAAAAATTAAACCTTTAGACAAAGCATAAGTTTCAAAATTCATTAGCTCGGTTGGGCTGAAAGGTAGAAAAAAGACAAATGGAAACTTTTTTTTTCAACCAACTGAGAAAAAAGCGGCAAAGATGTACATGGTTGGTAATATCCAAAATACATTGAACAAAATGGATTTTGGTAAATAGGGAGAAAAACTTTTCCATAAATACGTCGACAACGACAGATATATAAAAAAAAAACTGAACGGAAAGAATTAACCATATTTTCATTGTCACTTTTCGACAATTGAAAATGTGTATAGAGCAAGTGAGGATTTAACAAGAGTCAACAAACAGAAAATAGAAACAGAAAGAACATTTCTTTTTGCTGGGCACTTTTTTTGTCGTTGAAAGGACAATAAAAGTTTAAATCATTACATATTTTTGAAATTGCTTTGCGGTTCACATTTTTTTTTTGCATCCTCTCTTCCTGCCATAAACAGATCACAAATTCTGACACAACTTGTGAGACTTACTAAGCTGAAGTGGCGCAAAGCGAATTGTCGGCCACAAATTACATTAAGAATTGGTAGCAGAACGCAGCGAAAAGAGGAGGAGAAGAAGGAATGATAGAGAGAAAGGCATCAATCAACCAATTAAATGCTGGTATGTTTGAATGGATTACGAATAACACGAATACATATTTAATAAAGGATATTATCAATACATTAAATTAATTAATTACACGCTTCTGTTCACGCGCACATTTTGATCTACAGGTAAGTCAATTGTGTGATTTATTAACAGCATATGAAACGTGCTGGTGTGTGTGTGTGTGTGTGTGCTTTTCACACATCCGTATTTTGAAAGAACACACAATATCAGCAACCGTTTTGTAACCGTTTGATCCAATATGCATTTAACGTTTCAGGATGAATGTATATATATTTCATTTGGTTTTAATATTATACGCTCAATTAGATAATAAGGGAGCCAAACAAAATTGAACTTTGATTGTTACATAAGCAACGACACGAATGTAAAAACTTTGGAATGGCGTTAATTCGTGCATCGATAACTAAAGGTGTCAATCTCAAGTAGATCTAATAATCGAGAACAAAACAATATTTTTCATCTGTTTTTGCTCAAGTATCCGAAGCACTTAAACAAATAGACAACTTTTATAATATAATTCAAGATGCGATTAATATTTATGATGCTTATTTATCTTACCAAAAACAATGAAACCTTGACAAAAAAAAAAAACACTTACCACATAAGGCCAATATGACTGTAAACAGGGAGGCGGCTGGAAATCGAACCGATACATTGAACTCAAGCATCTGCAGCAAATCCACTGTTAAAAAAAAAAAAACAAACAAAAAAAGAACAAGGGAAATGAAAATTTAAAAACGAAAATCATCGATAGAATTAAAAATAAATGAAAATAAAGCAAATTAATTTAAGCATTTTTATACCCATGATAATTATATACAATACAGGCGTTTTCATGTGGGATAACAACGTTTCATTATTTTGTTCATTTCTATTTTTGTTCCTTTTAATAGCAAATGGCAGAGAGCGCGATAGCGATTACAGATTGAGACTGAGGAAAATGAGCAAAATATAACAAGGTGGTAACCGAACACAAATCCAAATCTATGCTGCTCATAGATGAATTGCAATTTTACTAAATAAGCTCATTAATGTTCAAAACACCCAAGTGGCAGATTAAGAATCTTATATTTCTGCTTGAATTCGCTGAAATGTGCATAGCTTGAACGCGCTAACAATAATAATGTCAAGTGCTTGCCAGCGCGTACATCCACAATATCCAAGAATAATTGTTCATTTTTCGTTTAATTGTTTCGTCTTAATTTCAAGCTGTGTGCGCGTGTGTGTGTGTTTTCATCATGTTTGTTATTCCATAATCTCGAGATTATAGATTTTATTCTATATTTTTTTCGTTCACTTCTTTCTCCTTCTTTTCTCTCTCATCACAATGTATTGGCTGTTATCATTGTTTTTGTCTTTGCATTCATTTCATACTCATAACTTTTAGCATTATTCTTGTACAATTTTAATTAATCGGTCACGAAACTATCATTCTGGAACAAAAGAGCTTGTGAAGGTTGGCAGTGACATGCGCTTTAATGCGTTTAAATTGTACATTAAATTGGCATCATTCAAATTTACACGAAAAAACAAACGCTTCGAATTTTGAACCATTGATGAGTACAGATAATTGGAAAGAATAAAAAATGAATGCTATTTATTATCGTGAGGTTGACAAACAGCTTGTTGAAAAAGCCTTGTTACGATATGGCACCACTAAGTTAATTTGGATTAACATATTTTGATGCATAAAAAATGAAATAAAATAATCATTTGAACTAATTATACTCGAACTTCATCGCAACGGCATTCGACTCGCTCACGCTAAATCTGTTCACCTTATTTTATTTCATTTCATTTCATTTCGACTTTTTTTTGTATCTTATAAGAAAGTGAAGTGAGTTTCAAGGATTTTATGCAAGTTCTTCTTGCAGATAATTGAATGATTTACGTTGCACTTGATTCTAAATTTATCTGCGATGTCGAAAGCGTTTAACGAATTCAACAATGGAAGAAGATGGTGCGTGCTTACTACAAAGCTGATTACATATTAGTATATGATATTTCAAGAGAATATGCGCACATATAAACAGATGAAAATTCATTAAAATAACATCTCGTCTGTTTTATATATTATTTATTGACGATTTTGTGCCAATTAGCATTTGGATTTGTTGTTGTGCATTTTGCTGAAGTATTTTTTTTTTTATATTCTCGTTATTTCTTTTCGTTTGTCTTATTTTCAGAAGCAATTAGTAACAAGTTATTTTGTTATTTTTATTGCCATTCGTTCCCACATTTTTTCCCCTTCAATTCAATTTGCTACAATTTCAAGATGCCAGCATTACTTATGCTACGATTTAAATCAATTAAATTGAACAATCATACACATATTTGAAAAAAAAATGGGAGACAGCTGTGAGGAGATTATAGAATAATAATTGTTATAAGAACTCCTAAGTCCTGAGTGACTGACGATACCTGGATTGGCATCGAAGGTGAACGAACGACATTCGAAATTGTTATCAGAGCAACCAGCTGTATCCAATAAAAAATACACCCTTCTTGGTATGTATCGGTGGAATAATGTTTTTGTTTTGTTTTTTCTCATCTGCTGGTTTTTGACTTGTCACATATAGTGTCAATCCATTAATTATATTTATTTTTTGGGAATGAAAAAATCACTGGATAAGAAACGAAAAAGTAGCCAAACTTAGTTCGTGATTGTTTATTTCTCTCTATCTCTCTCGAGTTTATACACCTCTCTCACGGACTCTTTGTGCCTTTTTGGGGTTTTATTTATTTATTTTTGTTTTATTCCGGCAAATTGATTTTCCAAAATGGCGTAATCATATAGTCACACAATTTGGACGATACTTTTGTGTAATGGATACATCACATTCGCTTTTTTAATCAATCTACATCACATTGGGTTACTGTTGACTCGAAGCGCACCTTTCAATTGGACATCAAACATGAGGTGGGTGCATCTCTCTCTCTCTCTCTCTCTCTTGTATTCGCACCATTCATCTAATTGCATTTGAATTCCATCGAACACGTGAACTATAAAAGAACTGATTTTGAATTTATCGCTTTAACCGTATGCTTCCTTTATTTGGTGGAAATAGACGAAGCACATAACAATTTGACGTTGATGGATCACCGTGGTATTGTCCGTATCGAAGTCACATCACCCGATGGTTGAACGATGAGAGACGATGAGAGATGAAGCGAGCGAAAAGAGGGAGACAGAGTTTATATGCGTGTGTGTGAGTGAAAAAGTATGGGATTCAATCATACGGACTCCAATACACAAACTACACACATAGATGAAAAAAAACCGGCAAGTAGATTTTATCAGTTTGAAGAGTGGAAACACGAAATGATTCCATTGTTTCCGAGCCAAGTTTTTGGCTCTGAATCAACGAAAAGTGGCTACTTCGCCAGCTGCATGTGTTTGTGTGTGTGTGTGTGATGAAATTCGAACGAATGAAATCTATACTCTTTCAACAAAGGCTACCTTTTATTAAACCACCATTTGCTCTTTTGACGTGTATGCCGGTGTGTGTTGATGTTGATTGCAATGTCGATGTTGATGTTGTTTTCTTCAGTTTTTTTTGCCTATTTCATTGAAATTTTGCTCAAAAATACAACATCCTCAAATGGCACCATTTGAAACTGGTACAAAAGGGACAGAGAATATTATGTATGCTGTTTATCATCGTAAAACAAATATTTGGTTTGGTCATCATTCTAACGAAATTATTTCCTTTACCAATTTGGTCACTTTCGCTCTCTGTGCTTTTTTTCTCTCTGACTGTTTGTGGCGATAATTCCATGTGCCACGAAAAATTGAAAACCAACGACAGAAGAGAATGACGAAAAAAGTATTATCATACATACCATGCCAATGGAAGTGGAGGCTGCACGTGGCTTTGCTCATATTGCCGGCATAAAATAATATCACACCAATCAATTTAGTCAACCACAAAATGGAATTCAGTTTTGGCTGTGATTTTTTTTGTGTCGGCTGCTCGACAGCCATGACTCACTCACTCTTACTTCGACCGATATGGTTTCAAAAACAATATGATTCCCTGAAATAATTTATTATATGTTTGAGCATATATGAATGTTTGACGTGTTAACTAAAAGAATGGCCATGGCAGCATTTCGGTGTAAAAAAATATATCTAGTATTACATTGCATTCATGTCACTGGCAGCTAAATACATATAATATTTCAACGAAGCGTATTATTTGCTCACCCTCCCGACTTTTTGGATGCAGAAGTACAAAAAAAATAGAGATGAATGACAACAAATACAACAACAGCAACAGCATAAGAACAATAATATGCCACATTTTTAGATATACACACCATTGTCCCATCGGCAAAATAATATTCGGTTGTTTTCTATCATATCGTCTTTCTCCGGTGTTATTGTTACTGTTTGGCCGTATATATGGCATTTTGACACTTGAGCCTCGTGAACTGGCCATCGAAAACAATGCAATCGATTCCAGACAATGAAAAGTTACTGAAACATCTATGAAATTTGCTTTTCGGTTTTGGCAGCGATCGTGAGAGGAAAATGAAAAGAAATGGATAGAAGCAACTCTCTGTTACCACGTGAATATTGGTTTGTCTATATATCTGCACCACTTTCTCCTCGAAGCATATCGATATTCTTTTCATGACCAAAAATAATCACTTATGGCCAGAGATACGACATGCATGCTCTTTTATATTTTATATAGCATCAATAAATATCGTTGGAATGCTATGAATTACAACCATTTTCAATGCACAAGCACACACACACATACACACGCACGCACATTGTTTGACAACGATTGGTAATGGTTTATTAGCATCCAAAGAAAGGTACATGTTCTCAATTTTCAATGAAATTCCATTGAATCACATATAATCACATGATGACATCAACTGACAATTTATTCATATTCATAGGAGGTCACACTCGTCCAATTATTTTGAATAAACGTGTAATTTGATCGGATAAGTCATCTATAATACGAAAACGACAAGAAATATGATCCAAATCTTAAGAAGAAAATGTGATTACTATAGTACAGTTACAGATTTTATTTTTTATTGGAAAAGTGTTCCATCAAAATCTGACTTCTGGTTAGATAAGGCATTGGTCTCTTTCTCCATCAATTCAAATGATATATTAATTAAAATTATTATAAATCGCATGCTTACCGATAAAAACGAAAATTTGATGATGTGAATATCGTAGAAGAATCGAAATTGACACTGTCTGAAAATGATAAAATGAATATAACGAAAATGATTAATTGTTATTTGTAACGTTGCACCAGCACACAAAACATGATGGATTTTCTTAAACAGAAAATTAAATTGAGTTGAAACTTACGAATAAAATCATGATGAAAAATGCAGCCGGGTATGAACCGCGTGCCATCCACCACATTGATACAAATCGATAGTGTTCACCAGTCACGACATTTCTGCAATGTTAGAGACAAATAACACAGTCACATAAAATTTATCGAAATGAAATGCATTGCTGCAATATCAAACATCAATAGCAGCCATGCACGCATACAACCACGTATACGACCGGTAACGGAACAATGTATGATGGCTGAATTGTGCATTTATTCAAAATTGCTTGTATATTATAACGTTGCAGCATCGTATCGTATCGTTTTACCTTAGATAGCCCTTGTTGTTCTCCTCTTCGGCTAGCACTTTAACCGATGCCATCAATAAATCGTCGTATCCAAGAAATTCCTTCAGAATAAAACGACTTAATGGATCACCAAAGCATTTGTCTTTATCAGGATCCAGATTTACGACTTGTATCGGTATTTTAAGACGTTCACGTGTCGCCGATGACAAACGCAAGAAACCATATTCCAATGAATATTCAACGATGTAATTTTCTTCAGGCCACACTACAAATTAGAATAAAAAAAAACACACACACGCTTAAACACTTATAACATAATTTTTCAAAAAAGAGATTCTGTCGAAGATCTACACAATATGACGTCGAAATTGGTTACGATGATGGAGTTTGTTGGGTTAAAGGTAAAATCAGCATAATTTATAGGTTTTATGACAAAATTACCTTCGTTCAACAGTTTGTCAACTTCGGGTGTGTCAAGTGATATGGGATTTGCCTTTTTCTGTACATCATTCAATGGAATTTGTGTTGATGATTTTTCAATCGTTTGATTTAGGTAAATTATATCATCCGTTGATGGTGTTGTTGTGGATGGTGCGATATGTTCATAAGATGCTTTAATTTCCGGAATTTTGACGTCATTAGATTGATTACTATCTGCGATCGTTGCAGTCATTTCACCATTTATTCGATGCGATTTTCCAAAATCGTTCACCATCGTTCCATTATTAATATTTAATGCTGTCATCAATATTTCACGGAATTCGGTTTTATTCAGTATTACACTATCATTTACATCGGCATATTGTGATACGATTTCCGCTTCGTGCTCATTTACATCAGAAAATTCATGTTTATGCTGCTGTTGGTCGGCCATATTCTTTTGACGGATATTATCGTAACGTGATTTACCCTCTTCCACTTCATGTGGCAATGGTTTTGATGGATCCAAACTCAGATAACCTTCTTTTGTTGTTGATCGATACGTTGATAATTCAGCATCTTTGATTGTTTCTTTAAATGATTTATCCGACAATCGAATAATTTCAACTCTGAAAAAAAAAATGAAAAAAAAAAAATCGTTCTGATCAATCGAAATTGAATTTAAACAAATTTCATTTTTACCTAAGGATACCATCACGTGGCCATTTCGCTTTCATATGTTCTAAACATGTGGCCGGAGTTTGTGAAAATGTTATATGAATATAGACTAATATGAAAAAGGCAATTAACGCCTTTACTAAAAAGAAAAACTCGATAATCCGTCGCACAGGCCTGTAATAGTTTATTCAAATTGATCATAATTAGTTTCGAATTAACAAAAACAAAAATTAAAATATTCATACCTCGGAACCGTTTGTGAATAGGCTAAAGCAATTTTAAAGAAGAGAGCATGGAAGAGTCTATCCCGCACACTGATCAATGAATTTTGATTGTTACGGGATCGATTATTATTGTTGTTGTTGTTATTATTATTATTATTGTTATTGTTATTATTAAAAATGTTGTTATTATTGATAAGCGGTGTGTCAGGTCGTGGATTATTTTCAGGATTCACATCGGGCGGTAAACCATTGTTGGTGTCCGTCATTATATTTGAACCGACCCCGGTTGCCACTGGCTGATGTGAAGATTAAGTACTCTCCGTTTGTTATACGAAACAAAACTTCTCACTCCACACCAAAAAATCCCGAAAAAAATGTGCTACTTTCGTAATAATCGGCTTCTTTCAGAACCTATACACACACATTCGTACAAAAAAAGAGAATAGAATGATTAATTTACAGTAAATGAAAACGACTATCGCTTACATATACAATGTACTCACCTGCAAATTGACATTTTACAGAGTGTTCAGCGCTGAACACTGTATAGATTAAATAAATGACGGCAATGCAATCGAGCTGCAAAACAAAATTCAAGATCTGCAACAACAACATTAGCAAAATAAATGCATTTAATTTACAATGAGAATAAAGAGCAAGAATTAATATCGGGTTAACTTCATTGGACGTTTTTCGTTTGAGTTCATTCTGGTTATTAAATTACAAATTAAAAATATTCGCGTTGAAGGTCAAACGATCGCCTCTCTTATTTCATTTTTCTTCAATTTATTTTTCGAGTTCGATGCAAACAGTGTGACAAGAACATTGTGTCGAATAAGGAAAGAGCACCAGTATCATTTTAATTTAATATAAAAATTGAACCAATAATCATGGTGTTTTTTGTACTATTGGTCAAGGACTCTTTATCTTTTGCCGGTTCTACTTTAAAAATAAAACCGTGTTTCTATTTTTAGACGACAAGTTTCCTCTAAATTCAACATGTGCAAGGCCTACGTGCGATCGAATGTGTAACCATCTTGAACCGGTATGGTTAATGCTATTTTTTACATTTTTTTTCTTTTTTGGATGGCTGATTGTTTAAAACAAATCGATCTATTTGATGTAACATTTTTTTTTTCTCGAAGAATAAAATAGTTCGTTTAGTCAATTTCTGCAAAGCAACAATTTCTCTGCCATTAGCATTCGATAGGATTCTTGCGTCAATTTAAATGAAGTTGTTAAAATAATAGCTACACACACTTCATTCAAACGTAATTCAAAAGCAACGGAAACTATTCTTTTTCTTTCTTGTTTTAGTTAGTGTCATATTCGATATTCGGTCTGATTGTGTGACGTTAATGCGAATTTATACGTTTTGTATTTTCTACATTCACTTGTTGTTGTAACAATTATACATGAATGACGTCAAATATTTACCGATCGACAGAGAAAAAAACACGATCAACTTAACGATCGTGAAGAGAGAATAAAAAAGCATACCGTGCGCATAAATTGTTGCTCGAGACCATGAAGATAAGTTTCTTGCTAGAGATATGTGTGTCACATGTTTGTGAACGCTTTAAATAATGATGCATTGCTTTTTTTCGACCGCTAGGTATAAACAATTGCCGATATTGATAGCAAAACAGCTCCGTATGAGTCTCAGCTGAATTTTGAAAGCAAGCTAAGAGTTAACAGCTAACCACATGAATAATTTTTGGTGTTAATAGTCGAATGAACCTTAAACACACGAGGCATGACACTTTTTTTTCTTCTCTCGCTCTTCCTCTCTATAGAGGAGTATATATAACCGAGCAATTGTATGAAGGTTCTTTTAATGAAATACAACTTTTCCGTGAGCTAAATTTAATAGTCGGCGCAATTGACATGCGGAAAAAAGGTGTCCAAAAGTTTTTTTTAGATGAACAAATTGAAAAGGTCGTTATTATTACGGTCAAAATTCATCCGAAAAAGAAGTTCACGCAATCGAACTGGACGTTCATTAAATTTATGAATAGTTTTTGTTGTTGTTGTATTTGAAACGGTACAAATCAGTCGATTATTGTCATGTTTTATTTATGGAGCCGCTGTTCGGCCCATCTCTTTCACACACGCGCTTCCATCGCATGTGTCCAATGTTTGTTTCAGTTTTTTTTTTTTTTTTCCAGTAAAATGTCCAAGCCCAAAACCACTATTCAAACGAAAGAAAATAACAATTTTATGGGCACTATCTTTGCCATTCAATCGTATTTCTAATGCAAAGTAAAATTGCAAAGCATTTTTATATCGATATATAGTCAATAGTTTTGCTGTTCAGCCGTTTGCAATTCAAATTTATGACATTTTGTTATTGTCATACAATTGAATTCGAATTGATGGAGAAGTGGAATGGTCAGCACACGAATGAAATGAACAAAAACGAACAGAGCTCAAAAGAAGTATGGGGAATAATTTTTTTTTTATAAAATAGACATAATAAAATAAAAGTGTGGTGTGACAAGTCAATGAGCTATTCGCATTATACCCTTTTGTTATTGATTGTGAATCACAATTATTCACGAGCTTCACATTTACGATAACAAAAACACAAACAACACCAAAAATAAAACTGAAAAATGCAAATTCGACACAGCAATTGTTATTGATGGTTGTTGTAGTTTTGTTTTGTCTTCTGGTTTCTTTCAATTTCGTTCTGATAAGAAAACACGACATTGGGGATGTGCGATTGCACGTAGTATTTTGTTTGTTTCTTCTTCTTCTTTTTACACGAATGGAATGCTTTCATTTCATTGCACGTTTTTCCATTAGATAACTGTCTCAATTCTTTTCTATTATAACCTTGCATATATAGATTCATATGTTACGACACACCGCAACCAAACGACAATACACAACACATTATCATAATCATTATTGTACATTTCTAATTTTTTTCGTTCTTTTGTTCGTTTGCTATCCAGATTATGATGAACGTCCAAAAGGCATACTTGACACCAAATGTTGAACTTTTTTTCCAATACAAACACACACAATCAACAATAGATTCGTATCAACTTTTATCGGCATTTTTGCGCCTTCAGTTTTTTTTTTTTGTTTTTCATTTTTGTACAACTCACATCCAATTAATGGCCGATATACATTCAATTGTTTGATTCATTCACGGAATTTTACCTTGTATCTGGAAGAGAATCGGTTCAAGTCGGCCGTATCGTTGTATTTCATTCAATTCAAAAAATCAAAATAAAAATGTTGCACAAATCGCGACACAGTGATAGACTTTTTTTTTCACTCTGACCACTGAATTAAGAAACTAAATGTTGATCGACACAGTTTTCTTTATCAATTTCTTCGCTTTATTTAGAAACACTGCGTGTTGATACGAAACAAGATAAAAAACAATTATATTCTAAATGTGAAACAATCAAAACATAATTCAACTTTTTGACGTATATTTTTTTGATCGACAATTCTTCTTTTTTTTTTGTAGAAAAGATATGAGAGTGTTTTGATTGTGTCAAAATCATGTGTGTATGCGTTTATTGGAATAAAGTACAAACGTCAAATCGGAAATATGTACTAAAACAAATACTTAAAAATTGCACAATAATATTGACTAATTTATTATTCAGTTTAGCATATACAGTTCGTAGAATATAAAAGTATCCATTCGATACCAAAATCCGAATCAGATATTTACCGATTTTTTTTCAAATATCGTATTAATTCCGTATTCGAATTGACAAAATAATTGGTGTGCATCCAAATCAATCGATTTTTTAAGTACCACAGAACATCCAAGACACACACCAATTTTCTATCTAGAATTTTTCTTAAAAGAAAAGCGACGAAAAAGTTATCAACGAAAAATAGACTACTTCCATCATTTAAAAAATAATTCGAAATAAAATGATTGGAAATCATCAAGAGGCGATCGATAATGATAATGTTACTTGAAATCCAGTATTCGATTGCTCGAAAAGAATTGCATCGAAAATACGACACTACAGATCGAAATTAAGTTTAGAATAAAAAAGAAAATGATTTATATGATAAATACCGCCATCTGTTGAAAAGCTGTAGAAATGGACTGGTCTGCATTGCTCCCTAATTCAAAGGAAAGGTTCGACTTTAAATCGAATCACAAGTGAGAAGGAAAGAAAATACCATTTCATCATTTTTTTCACATTTTAAATTAATTTATTTAACTTATTTACTAACACTGACGTCACTTTTCTTCCATCTCAAATAGTTGCCATAATTTGTGTGTGTATAATTTTTCTATATTTCCTTAAAAATAAAGTTTTTTTTTTTTGCTACACAGAGCGGTGACTAGTATATTCTGATCGAGTGTTCATTAATTTTTCTTTTAAATAAAATATTGTGTAAAATAAGCAAAATAAGACCATTAGTTTTCGGCTAAATATCTACTTTGGTTCAGCATAAGTTTTGCTAAGTTTGCGCTAATCACTGACAGAAAAAATTAATTTAAAAGAAAATGTTGTGCCTAACACAGTTTAGTATGTGCTATCTCTCTGTGTCACACAAAATTATGATTAACATAATATTTTATCATTCTTAAAATAATGAAAAAAAAAAAAAACTAGTTTTGTTTATGTTTCGATAACTGATCGTGCTTTTATGTTTGTATTATTTGATTGCAAGTTGTAAAATTATTGCCGGTTTAGAAATTACTTTATTCTACCCACACACAAGATATGAAGAAATTAAAATATTGCATTGTTACAATATAGTTTAGATTTATTTCGGTACAATATATTCAAAGTTTGCCAGGTGAAAAGCTTCATCGCTAACATCTAACCATCATGTTATTATTTTTTGTTTTGTTTTGTACATTCACATCATTTTGTTCTGGTGGTTATTTTTTTTTACATTGTACAAAAATGGCCTATTTTTATGTATAATACTATTGTGGCAAAACACTTGCGTATTCACGAAATCTATGCGAATTTTTATTATTATTATTTTTTTGTTATATTTTGTTTGTTTACTTTATGCTTCTTTTTTTCAGTTCATTTGTGTTTTCCGAAATTGTGATAACTTTCATTGCAACAGAATTGGTTCAGTTGGAAATTTATTTCGTTCAAACGTTAGATTCGATTTTCATATTATGTTTCTTGAACAGTTTTGCGTGTGGATGGTGATTCTCAGATAATGTTGATTAAATGTGAAAGAAATTACAGTCAAAATGAAAACGGATTGAATAGGGGGAGAGAATGTTTTAAAAGGTGATGCTTTTGATTCTGGTGCGTGTGTGTATTTGTGTTCATTTTAAATATCAATCTAGTATGTACATAAAATTGATCCGCGACCAAAGAAGCTCTTGTCATACGTTTGTCAATCGGCCAAACAAAATCAAAATCAACTCAAACTGAAACACATTTTTGTATATGATTTTTATGTTCGATTTGGAAATGACACCGATTCGTCTGTTGTGATAAAACAGATGAAAATGTTGATAAGAATAAAAATTCGACTTGAAATAAAAATCGATAAAAGTGAAACACAGCATATTAATAAAAAAAAGCTGTGATCCACTTTTATCGATTTTTATTTCGATTTGGATTTTTATTCGAGCCCAATCATAAGTTTAATGATTTTCCAAATTATCGCAATATTCGTCCGACAAATCATAGTGTCAATTCTAGTGTTGTTTATAGTGTGTGTAACCCTGTCCGATGTATACATATATTAACATTTAGTTGTGATATTTTATTAGTTGATTCAAAAGGCGAACTAAATGAACGATTTCATCTAATCGATTTCAATTCCATGCAATAATTTCGGATCATTATAAATGAAGGATTTGAAGAGATATGCAAATTTATTACCAGATATGAAACAAAAATCAATGATATATAATAATTATTGTGTGTGTAGGTGTCTGTGTTTAAGTGTGTATAAAATTGATTGTTTGTCATTTTGTCAATATTCGTTCTGCTCTCAAATTGGTTGCTTCTTGCTTTTGCCATTCATTATTTATTGTTTATAATTAATTGGGTAAATCAGTTCGGTGCAAATTTACAAAGATAGGAATATATTGCGATAGACACGAATGATATAGTGTGTTTGTCAATGATATGAAAATTCATCAAATAAATTGTCTTCCTTTGCTTTTCAGGTTGAAATGATAATGATAATGGTCAAAACACACGCATAAAAAACCGTTTTGTTTTTGTTTTCTTTCAGTTTCTTGTGAATATTCATACTCACACACACATGTATATTCATATTTTTTTATATTTATTCTTAATTCCCATTTCTGACTTGTCTATCGATATATAATTTTACATAGAATCGTTGCTCTAGCAATTTTATTGTTTATGTTCTTAATGAACTACTTTGCTTTTCACCTCATTTATATTGATTTGTTTCATTTCTGAATTGAAGCTGTTTGTTTTGCCGCCACACGGTTCGCCAATCGCGATCACAATCGCAAAAGCATTAGTTAGCTGTTCAATTGACCTCAGTTTAACCTTATTTGCTAATTACGTCTTATGTCTACCTTAACGAAAATCAATGTGTTTCTTTTGTGTGTATGGGTGAGTGTGACTGAATGTAAAGTGGTATTTTTCTGCAGTTGTGCATATGTTCGACAAAGGAATGGGTGAGTTTTGTGATAATTGCGGGGCATTGTGTCGCAAAATATCGATGAATATGTAGTAGGTCTTCTTATGTGTGAAATGCAATTTGTTTTGCAAATGATACATATATATGCCCTTAGCTTTTGTCGGTGAGATTCAAATCAAATATGCTTAACAGCTACTCTCACTTAAATCTATTTAAAATCATTTTATCAGATCATCTACTGTTTCCGTTCACATATGGCCATTCTTGCAAATGGCAATTATTGTATTTACTTGCTCTCGCCACTTCCCAGGGGTGACATACAACATTCGGGATTCAAATGATTTTATAAATGGTCTCAACATGCATTTCGACTCAAAATCGACTGTTAATCGATTCGAAAAAATAAACGAACTGAAATCATTTGAGAAATTGTGCAGATTTTAAATCAGACAGAAGAAGTTTTGAAGCTCTCACATTGTTGTGTTCATCCCCTAGTCTCTCTTCATGTCGCCTTTGTCATCGCCACACATTATCCCCATTTAAACCATTATTTTTATTTTTATCTCATTCAATATGCACCGATCCCGTGCCTCGTGCCGTTCACAACACAATTGTAATAATAATAATAATATTAATTAAACATGTTTTGTGTGTCGTGTTTTGTATGGCCAATAACTCATTTATTCTATATTTGTTCGACGATTTCGATGGTTAAATTTCCGTTTGTTATGCGAAATCATCTATCTTAGATAAGCACGTATATATCACTCTAACGTTGTGAGTCTTAATTTGATTTTCATTTCGCATAAATTTTGTTCTATTCCTCTTCTTCTTCTTCTTCCGCCACAATTTTGTTAAAAATTAGATTGACGACTATATTTTTTTTGTTCATTCAATTTAACAGTTTTTTTGTTTGATTTCTTCATTGAAATAAGGTTGTTTTAGCTCAAAAGTATCCCGGTTCAACGTTGTGTGCTAGACCAAGTGTTTCCGGATCAAGGCTAAGCTTCAATTCACCGCCCAAAACAATTTCCGATATGCATCCAATAATGCCCGAATAATACCGACGGCCCGTATAATACATAATGTCTGGCATTCCACCTGCGGAAATAATGAATCGTTAAAATATACATATTTGTCAAATACATTGACTCATAATATTTCAACTCACCAACATAAAGACCTGTATCTGTATTTAATTGTCGCAATTTTCCGGGTGATCGTTTACTCACTTCCACACCGCCATCTACTTCGATTGAACCATCTTGCAAATTCCTATTAAATTCAATTAAAATTTAATTGAATGCAATATTTACAGAATTGTGTTAAATCACATGCAGTCTCATATCATAAAAATATGTCATATGCCACTTTTTGTCATATTCACCTTAATATTCTGATTCGGTGCCACAGACCATCGCTCACTTTCGTTGAGTTGTAGACGATATTCACTTCGCCCGAACCAAGATTGTATCGAAAATGTAAATATCTGTAAAAGACCAAATTGAAAGTGATATATTTATTTTCAATTCGAACACAATGATAATATCGTTTCTATAACAATGATGATAATCATCTGTATCCAATAACATTTGGACTAAAACGTTTGTTTATAAAATCCAAAATGAAATTTACCCATTTTCAATTCCGAGCAGTAGATAATCGTCGTCAATCTGTGCCGTGTGTCGGCCCGTCCATAAAATTAGTCCGTTGTGTGAATGTGTTTTGAATCTCAAATTCAAATCGATTTTATAGCTTATGATTTGCTTCATTGTTTCGGCATCATTGTAATGGAAATAGCTGTGATAAAATGATAAATATTTTCATCTTTGTCATTCATTATTTGATTTATAAAGAAAAATATTACCTATCTGCTCCAGTGAAACAAGCACCATGACTTCTTCGCACGTATTTTGTTTTGCGATTCATTTGATTTCGTCGAATTTCGGCGCCGTTTTTCATAATGCGTGCCATATCGTCTATCAATTCTTTGGTTGTGAGAACGTCTTCATTGGAATAGAAACCCATCACATCAAAATCGCCACTCATTTCGTCATCTTCATCGTTGTCGTCGTCATCATCATCATCACTGCCAACGTTAGCCTGTTTATCGTTTATTGCAGCTGAATTTCCGCGTTCAATTGTTGTTTTCATTGTCGTCGTTGAGCGATCAGTTTTTATGGTTGGTAACATAATATCTATTTCAACTTCATCGTCGGCCAAAGATGGTGATTTCGGTTCAAGCAATGGCATTGGAATGTAGTGTTTTTTTGCTGATTTTGTTCCTTTGTTGTAGTGATTTTTCAATTTCATATTTTTCATAATTTCCTCTTTTTTTAGTAATTTTTCCGTGTCAATAGACATATAGCGGCCAAAAACTCGAGTTACATCGTCATCGGTTGAAATGCCTACTGTTTTACTGGGTGTCAATTGTTCAATTGTAGTCGTTGACATCGTTGGTGGTGTTGTTGTTGTTGTTGTTGTTGTCGTCGTCATAGTTGTGGGACGATTTGCGTTTGTGGTATGGATATTCATAACGGCATCCAACGAATCGTCTGCATTTTTGTATTCGTAATCATCATCATCATCATCATAATAATAATCATTGACATCGTCAGCTTCTTTTGTATTTCCCGTATTTGAATCCATGCTAAGTTCGACATTTTCGTTGCTATTGCCGTTGTTGTTGTTGTTGTTGTTGTTATTGCGTTCATTATCGCTGTGATCTTTGTCTACCATTTTATCAGATTTTGCATGTGGGTCACTTAATTGTACCACGGGAGATTTTGAATCAAATTCACTGATAGTAGCAATGACTTCATCGTTGTATTTACGTCGGTCATTAGCAATTGTTGTTGGTATTGTCGGTGGTGGTGGTGATGGTGGTGGTATTGATGCTGCTTTTGCAGCTTTTGCTATTTTCTCCACATCTTTGATATTGGTTTTGAGCTGTGCCATTGCTGTGATTGAGTTTGCCGGTACGGTCGTTGTTTTCAATGAGTCAAGTGCATTTTTGTCGATAGCAGACATGCTTGTACGATTGTTCGAAACGCCAGTGAAATTAAACGATGTTAAGCTTGAATGAGTTTGTTGCACCGTCAACTCTTCGGCTTTATTGCATTGCAAATTCGACGGGTTACATTGACATTCGTAGCTTTCCATGTTTGGTACGCATTGTGCTAATGGTCCGCATGGTTTTCTCGTACATGAGTGCGGACAATTATCAACATTTGTGCCTCCAACTGCTTCGGATATAATGGATATCGATCGACCATTTACTTCCAACTGTAGTAGAAAAGTACAGAACAAGTAACACATAAATAAGAAAATCCGTATTATAAATGTTATATTAAAGATAGCCGCCCCAACGTTTTGGTCAAATGATCAAATGTGCCTGAGTGAAAAATCAACAGGAAAGGTGAAGATGAAAATGGTAAAATTGATGGATAGAGAAACATGGATAGGAAGGACGGAGTAATTTAACATCGAATGAGATAGAAAACAGAAAACATAAATAGATAAAAAGAGAAAGAGAGAAGATAAAGACAGAATGAGTTGCATCTGTGCAATGTGACCCAATTACCATTCTTTGAAACATGCCACATGAATAAAAGGTTTCGTCTCGGTGCATCGTCAAACTAGCTATACTGTTTGTAAAATTTCCGTATAGTGAACGAAAAGATTCAGAAAATTCAATGATACTCGTATACTATGTACAAGATCCCATCCCGAAAGTACGTCAATCAAATTAAACAGTTTGCCCTTTACTCGACATTCTATCATTGCTCCGGTTGGATGCAACATTTGTAGGCATTTCGAAGTGCATTTGAACTTTATTATCTTTCCATTGCATCAAAGAACAAATACAAACTAATGTTGTAATTTATATAGTATTGATTTTAGTCGACGAAGAAGAACGAAAACGGCACAAAACAAAACAAGTGAAAAAAGCGACGAGAAATGTATTGCTATCAGCCCAAACATTGCTCAGTGTGTCAATATCTATACTATGTTCAGTAACTGTCAAAAATTCGAACATGTGATGCGTGGTTATGAGATTTTACCATTTTGCTTGTGATTTTGTGTGTTAAAGTTTTCAAAGTTTGAAACCAATTCAATATAACTAGATAATCTGACTTTGTATGAAAATATATTGGGGGAAAAAATGGAAAATTACATTCTGATTTTGGTTTAATGTTACTCATCCTATCAAATAATTAAGCATACAGGCTTTCTCAACTTTTTTGATAGGGGTTGAGTGAACATTTTTTTTTCTTTGCACCGAAAAAAAATCAAAAGAACTCATTGTTTGTATTGTCATGTATAATTAAAAGTGGTTTTATAATAAAATAGAAGATATAAAGTTATGAAGTTTCAAACAGACCGAAACAAGTAATACATCTGTGCACCGCACAACGATTCAACGCAGCTGCAAATGTTTCACGTTCGTATTATGAAAGCGTGCACAATTTCTGACATTTAATTATATATATGGCATAAAGTCTTCATCCCTAATTGTGTGTTGCACACACGTGATTTATTATTTAATTCAGCAAAATCTCGAACCAAATTATTGAAATAATTGACATGTTTGTTTATTAGATACGGTCTCTGTGCGAAATGATATGAGTTTCATTTTATAAACATACATAACAACAGCGAAAGAATGAGATATACATATATAAGCTCATATTTTAATCGAAATTCGCTGGCGTAAATGTACGAACACCAAAGTCAATCTTTTATGGTGGAAAATCCAACAAATAGTAGAAGTTAACAGAAGTGAAAATGGCAAATAAACGAGCATCGCAACAAAATCGAATTAAGGCAAAAGATGCCAAGATCTCTAACTTACAAACACAGAGAGAGGCCGGGAGTGGTGAGAAAGATTCTTCATTTCTTGCAGGTTTATTACTCTGAACACATATTTCAGTTCAATTTTGATAAAACCATAAAGTTTAGTGCTCAATGCCGCACGAGTTTTTTCACTCTCTCTCTCTCTCACTCTCTCTTCGTTTCATTTTCCTACAATTTACGCTCGTCGAGCTTGAACGTTTGGAATCTTCATTTCATTGCACATCGTATATGTCTCACGTATAAAACGTCGCATGATATTTAGAAGAAAAAAAAAACTTCTACATATATAGCCGATTGTTACTCTGACTGAGAGATATGCGATATTGTAAATACTTTAAGCTCTTGTTATTTCACTTTAAAAAAATGTTCCCTTCTCTGTCTCGTTTATAGAATTTGTTCTCGGGTACAGATTTCGACGTTGTCGTCGTCGTCGTCGTTGTCGACTCTCACAACGACAAGAGCGATGTCGTTGATGTTCGTGTATGAATAAACACCGAGTTCGGTTTTGTCTTGATGTCGCGTTCACATCTACCAAATCTATTATATTTTTTTTCTTAAAATTAAATGCCTTTCTAAATGCTTTAAATACGATGGAATCTAAATTTTCGTATGTTTTATGTTTGGTGCAAAAGCTTTTCGCGCATCCACACGCAAGCAAAACCCCTTTACGACTGAACCACCAATGTATAAGTATGTGTACGTGATATCCATGTATCTGTGTGAACATTTAACATCGACATAATGGCAATACACACTTACGCTCAGACAATACACTCAAACATATGTGAAAATGGTTTATATCTATTACATTTGTTACAAACATATATATTAAATGTGTTACATTGACTTCGTTGCGATGCTGCATAACAAATGTTAGACGAGTTTCGAGTTTCGAATGAGAGTTGGTTAGCTTTTTGTTACCAATCCATAAATCTGTTTTGTTTTGTCTTGCTTCACATTCCTTGATTCACTCGAGGTGTTTTCTCTTCTATATCATTTACTTTGGTGTGCTGAGCAACATTTTATTTTCCATCACGTCAATGAAATTGTTTTTTCTTTGCTGTTACTTGGTTGCGGGTAATATCTGTGATTCGTATCAAATGAAATATTTCTTTTCTTTTTCTTTTTTAGCAATGAAAGATTGCAATTAAAATCTCAACCAATCTAACTATCATTTCCAATCGAGATTTTGTGACGAACAAATGAAATATTTTGATGACAGATTTTACAAAAAAATATGTCGAAATTCGATTTTAAGATTATATTATGGAACTAAGTTCGATGGCATACTAAATTATGGCATACTTCTTATACTGTTTTAGACAGGGAGAGAAAAAAAAAAAAACAAATAATAGAATGACTTTGCATCTTACTTTTTGTATGCATCCCACAAACGAGCCAAGTTCTTTGAGATTTAATGGCAAATATTGTGCGTTGTTCGATCCACCCAAATACAAGCTGTGCGGTAACGATAAATGCCAAAATCCATTTGGTGACACTGTCATAACTTCGGGTAGCTGATCAATCTGATGAAATAAATATAAAATGATTATGGTTGTTGTCTTTTTTGTTGTGGTTGTAAAAGAGGGGAATTTATTCAAACGAAATAGTATCCGTTATCAAACGCCAGTTTACACAATAAAATTAAGAATGAAACACACATAAAATAGGGGAAAAAAAATGATAAGTATCAATTGCATTTGGATTGCTTAAAGTATTTTCTGTCATTTCATATTGTTGGCGTTAAGCTTTTGACTGATGATAATAAGTTGGACGGTTGAAACCAGAAAAAAAGATGACGAATACTATGATTGGTAATTGATTGTTGATTGCATACTTCATCAAAAGTACGAGATGAGAAAAGCACAGTTGAAGTATTTAACGCGTCATGAAAATCATTGAAAGCAATCCAATTAGAGTAAATCCTTTTGAAAAGTGTTATTATATTTGTCGCAAGAAGTTTGTGGAGAAATAATCAATCGAACGCAAAAATCGATTGGATGAAGACGGAGAATGGAAAAGTAAATTGATTGTATTTGACATCGGAATGTCACAAGTTAAATTTTTATCGGAAATTTCAAATTTGTCAACATTTGTCAAACAGACGATCTTTTTTTAGCTTTTCTTTCTTTTCCTCCTACGCGTTTTTTAAAATTGAGTACTTGAGTTAAAAACTCGATAATGGTGTCGCTGAATATGTTTTTCTTCATACAACATTGCATGAAATAGCAAAGTTGATCCATAAAAATACACGCGCAGACAACACTGCTCAGTGCCATCGGTAAAGAATAACATTCAACAACAACAAAAAATGTTATCAATAAATGCTTAAACAATCACAATCAACACCGATCACAATAGTACTTACTTTCATAACTGCCAAACGAGCCGTTCGTGAAATGCGAATGATGTGCCATTGTTCCATCGTCAATGGTGTTTCACTCCTGCAAAAGAACACAATATTATGATGAACAAAATAGACGAAAATACTTTATAAAATTGATATGAATGAATCTGTGATAAACACAACCACACATTGATATCGGCACGAGGGTGTGGGAGAATGTGTAACGCATTCAATCTTAGCATTTAATAGAAAAGTTTAATTTATAATTTATCTGGTTGTTTTTATCGTTATGTTCGTCTCATTCTAACTTTTTGTCACCCATTCGATTCGCACTGTTGAATCAAAAGTAAAGAATAATAAAACGGTTTGTTGATGTTTACATTGAGTGTTGTTTTAGAAATAATTTATTTCATTTCGCACTTTTTCGCTTCTGTTCTATACAAAACTCATATTTAAATTACATTCATTTGATCTGTTCGATGCTATTGTTTGTATGTGGTGACAATGCCATGAATATGAATCGCATTGTTTTGCTTCTCTTCGCATTACTGACTACGAAATCGAAAGCAATTCGACGCCTCTTATAAGCTTGAATTTTGAAAGAATTATTACAAGATGCTTACGAAAATGTGTGTGTGTGTGTGTGTCTGTGGGTGTTAAACAATGAAAATATAAACAAAAATCGCACCGAAAGAAATCCACGTTAAATTCTATGAGCATTTGATTTGAATTGAATGTGTGAATGGAAATGAAGTGATATCAAACTGTTGAAGGAATATTGAAAAGTTGAAACACGATAACAAAGTAGATAGAGAAACTTTACAGCAACACACAGCATAAGTACAAAATAATAACAATCGAAACTTTATATTTGCTATGTTGCGATTGGGATGGTGGCATTTTGCCATAATATACACATCCTATATATACACGGTTGAGAGAATGATGCCAATACGACCATATGTCAGTGGCATCGATAACACTCTGGCAACTTTTCCACTATATTCATTTTCGATCATTTATTATCGTGTTATGATCGAATTTGAATTATTCACTAAATCCGAATTTAAATTTATAAACCAATTGAAGTTTTGTGCCATGTTTGCCGCATCATAAATCTTTGAATAAACCGTTTCGTTGTGGTTCATTTGGTATTGTTCGTGAAATCGATAAAAGAGCGGGAAATAAACAGAGAACGAGAGATACACACAACTTTGCTTTTAATGACAAAACTGTGTCGATTCAGTTGAATATTTGGAAGCGCTTTTTCACTACATGACCATTCCCAGTGTGACCTTTATGCAAAAGATAAAATACGTAGTGGCTGCATGAAGTTGTTTCATATAAACAAAAAAGAAATTTTCGAATTATAATTTACGGGTCGATTCAATTAATATGGGAACTCCATTTGGTTAATCTGCTTCAATTTGAATGAAATTATACATATAGAGTGCTTATGAACACTTTTTTTTTTTCTCTCTCTCTCTCTCTCTCTCTCTCTCTCTCTCTCGCTATCTCTCTTTAACACTCTTTCTCTTAGGCACATACATATCAAAGAGTAAAACATACTGTCACTGATACAATTCAACGGTCATGGCACTAGCCACGTGCACAGGCACGTTTCCATTCAACGGATTCAGTGTATAAATAATTACGTTTGATGCAGTTGAGTGATTCAACAATGTGGATGTCGTTTAACTTTATGCACACATTTTTCATCACCGGACATTTTTAATTAAAAATAAATCTCAACTGTTCATTTTAGTTTTCAAAGGATAAGCAATATCCGACTTTCTGCCGGAAAATCTGTCTATCGCAAAAAGTTTATTATGAAATTGTCGCAAGTATAATTTCGACGAGCGAGAAATGCTAAGCAACCAATTCTAGTAGTTGCATGTGGTTAATCCTTTGCATAAGCCAAACATATGATGATAAAGACTTCATCAAATATTGAATCAATGCCATTTCATAGGCACACGCACACACATCCTGCCAAACCATATCAAAAGCCCACATACACCACAACTACGTTTCAATTTTTCTCCGCCTCTCTTACTCCTCTTTGCACCCATGTTCATATTTCCGATAAATTTAACTTTTTTACAATACGACAAAACTTTTTCATATTTATTTTACTGGCTTAGTCGGTCTGACTATCATTCAATCTCTATTTATATATGCCAAATGACACCAATTATTTCATCTTCATATTTTCAATCGTGATTTTCTCTACATGCTGACGGGCGTAAATTTATACGCATATCAGCAATCCAGCATACAACTTTGTATATTTATATTTCCAATTGGAAATATTCGACAATTTTCAATTTGAGGAAGAAACATTTTTTTGGTTCAAAAATCAAACATATTTAAATTGAAATCGCATATCATTCGCAATGGATGCGTATGTCACTTTTCAATGTTTCATTAGTTGATGTTGTTGTTGTTGTCAATTTTTTTTACAATCACATTTTTGATGCTCTTTTAAGTTCAATTGCTGCTTATTTGTTGATTTCATTACACGTGGGCGTCCTTTTTTCTCTATCTCTTTCAATCACTCTCTCCCTCTCTCTCTCTCTCTCTCTCTATCTATCTCTGTCTGTGTGTGTAAGTTTCGAATGTAAAATGGAAAGGAAATTAAATGTTGAAAAATCTCTGAATGCATATATTATCTATCTATATCCATGTATGTAATGAGTATTCTGTGATTTTGGGAAACGGGGAAACTTTTTCTATTTGAATTTGTGCTTTATGGCTTGCATTTTATTTTGCGTATGCTTTCATTTAGATGATATCTTCGGTTGGATTTCGTCGTATTTGCGATGGATCGTTGTGTTTGTGTATGTGTGAGCGTGTGTGTGTTTGTCAGCAATTCGGCATTGTATAAAAGGATCAGATGCAAAAAAAAAACGATAGGAAAATATCTTATAGAATCTCGAGTCTTATTCATATCGAGAAGAAGATAAAAAACGCACGAATCAACGAAAAAGGAAGAATATCCAAAGTAAGAATGCATGTTTGAATTTTCGTTCGCTGAAAAGTTTTCAACTAATCCGCCTCAAAGTTATGAAAGAACCACTTACAATCTTCGCATTTGCTTGGTGTATGTATTTTTTTTAGTTCCACTCTTCATTCTACTCCCTCTTTGTCTCTGTTATTTTTCTTGCATGGGCTCTATTATTGACTTTGTGTATGCTGCATGACTGAATGGGGCTATATATGCAATGCAATCGAGTTAAGTATTCGTCTTGCGGAAGTTCTTCTTTTTTTTTTGTTGGCTACCACTTTTGTGATGTAGGAATATGTGCGACACCTAGCGGCGAACATACAATACAGTAATACAAGTAGTGATTCTGAAAACACTAAAACACGTAAAATAAGATAGGAATGAAGCGGAGATGAAGATATGGAGCGCGAGGAAAATTAAATGAAATTATCTTGCAAGTAGTTATTTATGTAAATGCTCGGCCGAGAGATACTATTGCAGTTATAACGGAAATGGCACTTTGGCCAAAGACAAAAGTAACAAGGCCAACTACAATGATTAAACAGAAATGCGATTACGTACGCAAGCGGTAGAGTAAGAGATGAAGAGTGGAAAAGTTCGACCGTTCATATGCATGTCACATGCTATTGAATGGAATTGCATTTATTACAAAGTTTATGCAAGGGATGAAACTTTGATTGAAAAACCGAAATATTTACGTATTCGAATTTTCACATGTTGAAGTGGTTCCGGTTTTGCAAGTAAAATGCATCTCACTTTTTCCCGTAAGGATTAGCGAAGACAAATCACTGAGTGCACAGACGGCATTTTGTATAGACAGGAGTACGATATACAACATAACGGTTAATATGAACAGTAAACATTGGTAGAGATTATGATGATTTCGACATAAAATCAATAGAAATGATTCACATATCCAACGTAGTGAGCAAGAGAGTGGCAACAAAATGTTGAAGTAAATAACACATCGCAATCATATATAGTCTACAACATATTTTATAGTCGAATCAGACATGTCTGTAGCCAGTTGGAATATTTGAATATGAGTCTATTATGCTCCTGTAATATGTATATTTACTCATACTCATTCTCTCGCATAATGATGGCATAAGATAAATGAGTGAGTGAAAGAGAAAGTAGAAAAAACCTAGAAAAAAACTTATGTCGTCTCATTTTAAACTACTTTGGTGCGTACAATATTTTCAAAATTACAATGAAATATCAAGAACGAAAAAAAAACTGATTGGGAAAGCTTGGGTGGCACATTGTTAACCACAGATGAAAAAAATATGCGAAAATTATTATATGTGAAAATAACGAAAAGTCACAAAGTGGAAAAATGGCGAACGAACACAGAAACACACACACACACACAAAATTATACGGTTATGTGAGTGCAACGAAAGCGCATTTTGGTACTTCATATGGGCAAAGTACGAATAAGGAATGGCGGAGAGAAAAAAAAACGAGAAACGCACACATACAAAACGATGGCGGAAAAAAAGTTTTATGATTAAATTTTTGATTTATGTTATTGAATCGTTCAAATATGGCATTGCTTATAAAAATGGCTTACATTTTTTTTAACTCGTGCATAAAAACACTCATTCGTTCATACAGCCATGTGTTTTTATATAAATGCAACTCATCGAACGCACTGTTATAGCCTAATACCAAACTCAATTCATGGAAATATCTTATTATGCAATACCGATTGCACCCGATGATATGTGAATTAAATGTTCATTTGCTAAACAAAACAATTCGGGACGAAACAAAAACGATTCTAGCAGAATACATATACATGCACCATTCATAAACAAATGAATGTGGCTAGAACTGTTTCAATATACAATAGATCAGGATTGGCTTTGCGTTGGCAACAAGAAATTTAAAAGCATGCTTATCGCTATTGTAAATTATTTAATTTGATTATTGTGATTTTGGAGAGAGACAGAGCAATTTGAACTTTTGATTATTCTCAAATTACCCGAATAATGTATGGCAAGTGAGGCAATGGATACACACAATAATACTGTGATCGTTTGATCAATACAAATATACAAAACTTTATTTCTCCACTAGTCGCG